TTTGGGGTTTAGGGTTTAGTGCCAACAGTCATATACGTACTGTTATTGTACGTATAGGTACCCAAACCTAAAATACCTAAGTATTGAGTACTTGCACTCTCTGGAAATCCATATATATGGCGGCTTCCATAAAAGGGGGGACCTTAATCTAGACCCCCCAAATACTACAGTCCTTATTCTGGGAACCCCCCAAAACGGTACCCCTAATTTTGGAAATCCCCACATTCCATTGCTTCACCCCGTTTCTTGTTATGGTCAGAGTACTGCAACCTTGTGGGTTGAAGTTCCACAAGGCTTAGGGTTTAGGGTTTAGGGTCTCCACAAATTTAAGGTCTTGTTTTGGGGGTACCTGACAAGGCTACAGAACAATGGATCTATATTGGGGCACCTTATCTCTGGAAATCCTTGTGTAATTTCAGTGAATTGGTGGTCTGTAGGTAATGAAGGAAAAGGTTGTAGGCATGTCATTGGGAGCTGTTGGCAAGGATTGCCAAGAGGATCCGTTTCTCCATTCCGCAGTCAGCGCCAGTAAGTTCTGCTGTCGATGCGCAACTTGAAATGACATTTCACGTGAAACAAGAACTACTTGTCTCCGTACCACTTGCAGAATACCTTCTCATGTATTTCACGTTGATTTGGCATGGTCACATGCAAGTGGAAACTGCTATGTCGTGACGACGGAAATTGGAGAGACTGCTCGGAAATGAACTGCCATTCAAGTCTTGACGGTGCAGCACATCGGAACCAAGGGTCAGAGTTTGCAGGCCATGCGGGAGAGAAACATCCTCAAAGCTTTGGTCAAATCTTTGTCCAAAAGTCAGGGTCTGCAAGCTGTGTGGAAACCGGACGCTTTGCAAAGACTGGTTGAACTCATGACCAAACGTCAATGTTCGCAGGCTGCCTGGCCATTTGACGCTCAGCACGCTCTGGTTGAACCAATGGCCGAACGTCAGTGTCTGTAGACTCTCCGGCAGCGCCACGCGCTCCAAGCTGCGATTGAAATTGCTACCCAAGGCCAGTGTTTGCAGTCCTTCCTGGGTTGTTGCTAAGGAACTTAGATTAAGTTACCATAATGGGTTTATATGGTAATTACTATGGCTTCCCCAATGTAATGACTTTCCTTAACAGCAAGCCAGCTTCTGGGAGCGTGACGGATTCCAAGCTCTGATTGAACAAGCTGCCAAAGGTCAATGTCCTCTCTTCCCCAATAACCAGGGCCCAAAAAGTTTAAACTTTATTAGGGTTTAGGGTTTATTTAGACCCTAAACCCTAAACCCTAGTTCTTCTATTGGCTAAGTAAGTGTCTGCAGGCTGCTCGGCAACACGACACAATCCAATGTCTGGTTGAAACCATCACCGAAGCTCAACGTCCTGGGTTGCTGTCAAGGAAAGCCCAAATTTAGGGTTTAGGGTTTAGGGGTCCAGGTAGCTATATAGTATACACTTTGGCCCTAAAGTAGTTATATGGGAACCCCTTTGGGGCCTAAATATGTACTATATAACTACTTCGACCCTTTGGGTTAGTTTAGGGTTTAGGTTTTAGGGTTTAGGGGTACTATCCCCCTACAATGGAGAATCAAATGGAAACGAACATGGAACATCAAATGGAAACTGGAGGAATATAGGGATATAAGGAATGTAATCTAAGTTAATATATTGGGGAAACTATATGAATTAGTGTATATACCGAATATGGTAGTTTAGTTTAAGCTCCTTAACAGCAGCCCAGTGTCCGCAGAGTGCTTGGCCACGAAACCTGTTCCACGCTTTGCTTGAACTCGTACCCAAAGCTCAATGTCTGCAGGTTACTGGGCAATGTCACTCCCGCCAAGCTGTCGTTAAACTGGAAGATGCTCAAGTCCTGCTCATTATTGGGGTTCTATAGGGGCAACATAGGGATAGTGGACAAGAAATTGAAACTACTATAATAGGGTTACATAGGGTATGCTCAAATCCTGCAAGCTGTTTGGCAGCGTGACGTCTGTCAAACTCTGGCTGAACTTGCCGCAAAAAATCAATGTCCGTACGCTGGTCGGAAGATTGACACCCGCCAAGCTTTGGTGGAAGCTGTTGCCAAAAGCCAGCGTCTTCAGGTTATCTGGCAAAGTGACGCCTATCAAGCTTTGGTTGAAGTCATTGCCGAATGTCAATGACTGAAGGCCGTCGGGCAGTATGACACCTTCCAAACTCCGGTTGAACTTGGCGCCGAAGCTTAACGTCTGCAGCTGACTGGGCAGTGAAACGTTACACAAGCTCTGGTTGAACCTGTAGTTTCCTTAGACCTGTAATGAAAACGTGTTGAATAATTCCTTAGGGTTATACTGTTATACTATAATACAAAGTAAAATAATTCCTAAGGAGACTACAGGAACCAGCAGCCAAATGTGAGCGTTTGCAAGGTCTCCGGCAAGGTGATGGAGTCCAAGCTGTGGTCAAACATCTCACTGAAGGTCAACGTCTGGAGGTTGCTCGGAAGTGTGACATGTCTCATACTCTGATTGAAAACGTCGCCGAGGCTCAATATCTGCAAGCCGCTCGGTAGTATGGCACGCTCCAAATTCTGGTTGAATTCGTGGCCAAAGCTCAAGGTTTGCAGGCTACTGGGGAGCGTAACAGGCTCAAGGCTCTGATTGAAGAAGAAGCCGAATGTCAGGGTCTGCAGACAGCCAGGCAGAACGACACCTTCCAAGCTCTGGTTGAATAAGCTCCCAAAGGTTAATGTCTTCAGGCTGCTGGGCAGGACCACACGGCTCATGCTCTGGTTGAAGCCTCTTCCAAAGTTCAAGGTTTGTAAGTTGCTTGGCAGAGTGACTCGCTCTAAATTCTGGTTGAAGCGGTAGCCAAACGTCAGCGCTTTCAAGCTCTGCGGCAGCAGCACACCCTCCAAACTTTGGTCGAACATCTCACTGAAGGTCAACGTCTGCAGGCCCTCTGGCAGCTTAACATTTTCCAAACTCTGGTTGAACATGTTGCCGAGGTTGAGGGTCTTCAAATTCGGTGGCAGAGCCACGCCTTCCAAGCTGAAGTTGAAAACCGGGCTGAGTGTCAAAGTCTGAAGGCCAGTTGGCAACATGACAAGCTCCAAACTCTGCTTGAAGTCACGGCCGAAAACCAACCTGGCTTGCTGTTAGGGAATTTGATTCAATTTGCTATAATGGGGAAAGCATATTGATTGCTATAGATACCCATTATGGTATCTTAATTTAAGTCTCTTAACAGCAACCCAGCAACGATTGAAGCCTGCTTGGCAAGGTGACTGCACGCTCGCGGGCTCGATTCCATGTAAGCGACAGGATTGCTTCGGCGGCCATCAAATCCTTTGGGCGCGAGTGGTGGTATGCGTCTGTAGTCCAAGCACGCAGCAGGGAAACTGCCGCTTGACCAGCGCCGACTTGTTGAAAAACATAGGTCACCTCTCCTGGGTCAATGTTAAAGCATTTAAAGTCAGTTACCATAATGGGTATATATAATAAAGCAATTAACATGGTTTGCCCAACATGGAAGTTTAACTTAAGTGCCTTAACAGCAACCCAGTCTCCTCTATCTACTTGCTGAAGAAGGGGTCCGGAGTCGGTAACGTCAAGTATCCTTCCACCCGACATCAGCACAAGCCTTGCGCCTGCCTTCATGTCAACTTTAGCCGCAATACTCTGGTGCACATCCTCAGTCGGCCCTGGAAACGTCCCAAAACTTATTATTAGACTTTTGGGTTTAGGGTCTAGGGCTGAGGGGGGGCAATAACAATATCTTACTCAAGAATTACGAAGAAAACATTTTCCGGACACCCCTAGCATCCAAAGATGTAGCATCGGCATGGATCTGAAGCTGAAACGTTGAACCGTCAAGGCCTGAGACGCCCAACTCTGTACCTCACTTCGTAGTACCCGGTTTATGCTTAGGGGGTTTAGGTTTCAGGGGTTTAGGGTTTAGGGGTTTAGGGTTTAGGCTTCAGGGTTGGGAGGTGAACAGGATCCTTCTTGCGAGTCTACATCTCCCAGGGACCCAAATAGCCCCAAATAGGGTGCTATCTAACTGCTAAACCTTATTGACTTTTATTGGGGCCCAAGGTAGGAGCCACCCCCGACCCAAACATCAGAAACAATCACTGGCGTATAATAAATATACTATAATATACTACAACATATCATAATATACCATAATAGACAATAATATACTATACCATGATAGAAGATATTACTAGTGTCAAGCCGGATGCGTGTGCTGTTTGCGCTATATCCTCCCATTGCCGCAGATTTCTCCTGCACGACGGGCCTTTCCATGCCAGCATGTAGCTGAGGCGGCATGGCCATGATTTGTAGCAATCTGTATGACTTTCCCTGGCCTACAAGTACACGCATCTAAAGAAGTTAGGGTGGCCCACACCCACCTCTTAACAGTCTTCAATGGGGTCATACTGGAGGCTATATATGAGCCATTGTCTAAACTCCTAGTATCCCCCTTAATAACCCCTATAGTAGTTCCCTTTATATAACCCCTATATAAACCCCCTTTAAGGAGTTTAGACTGTAGCTCATATGATTATTAATCGTGAATATTATCCTACGGTTAGTGAGTGGGGGCTGTATCCAGACCTACACTCTGAAGCGGCAAGTCTTTGCTTGGCTGGTGGCGCCATGGCACGAGCCCATCAAGCCCAAAGTAGGTAAAATAGTGGCCCAAAACCTTTAAATATAGACCAAAAGGCCATTATTCTACATTGGGGGCCCAGGTACCTGCAGGGCTTAGCGTTGGCAGTTTACCTTCGCACGGCTTAGTGAAGGAGGCCTCACCCCTAAACCCTAAGCCTTAAACCCTAGTACAGTAGCGCCTCTGGGAAACTGACGCTACAGTCCTATTTGGCCTGCAGCGGTCTAGCATGTCCCTGTCGTAGGAGTTTAGGGTTTAGGGTTTAGGGCTTAGGGTTTAGGGTTTAGGGTTCGTAGACCCAAGACCCCAACCTTTCTTGTAACCTTTGACGAAACAAGCTGCAGGGTTGTCTGCCTGATCCAGGAGGACTCTGGTGGCTCCCCAGCTCAAAGCATCCCGTGCGCCATACGGTCTACATCTTCAAAGGCCCAATAGTAACACAGGAAATTGTGGTAGTTACACTCAGGTCCCTATAGCTATTCTTATGGTACCACTTCGAGGGGATGATGGCAGGGTGCGTAAAACTGCAACCAACTGCAAAAGGCCGGCTACTGCATTGCCATGTCCATGGCGTCGGCTCATGCCTTCAGCCCCTAAACCTGAAAGCCTTAAGTCTCAGGGGTGGGGGCCGGGGCCTCAACCGCAATACCCTTGGACTTAGAACCCTTCAAGACCTTGAACCTGGGATCCGAAAACTCAAGCCCCAGAGAAGCCGAAACCCTACACTCCAAACCCCAGTCCCTGGCTCTGTTGGAAGGGGCTGGGATACTTCTCACCTACTTATAACTGCGGGTACAACAAAATTGCGTACATGTCCAACACATCCCACAAAGTGATTGGCTCATAGATATAACTATAAACAAGCTCTAGGTAATCCACCCCTTGAAGTAGAGATTCCCGCAAATGGCTTGTTGAGGTCTGGGCAAAGGTGTCCGTTCCGTGGCCGCCATCGCAGCCGCACAGCTCCGCACGGGTCGGCCGCGGCGGAGTGTTTGTCAGTGTTTTACAATTTGTAGGGTCTTGGGGGTTGTAGTGGCTTGTGAGGGTATATGGGATGTTGTAGCGCCTGAGGGTCTGAAGGAGGTGGGGGCTGCATGAATTTCAAGGGTGTTCAGGCTTTCAGGATTTTTGGGTTTTGGAGGCTTGTGCTTGTGGATGGAGGTTGCGCACAGCTCCGCGGTCTTCCTTTTTGCGTTGCGCGGTGCTTGTAGGGTCAGGGTTCCGTGGCTCAGGTTGTTGTGTACCGGCTGCTTGCATTGGTTATACTTCTTGCTGTCCTCTGCAAATACATGAATTCGGGCCCAGAAAACGGCATTGGAGAAAACCATGCAGCACCTCAACCTCTAAAGCCTGAGCTTTTCATCCAGATGCCCTAAAACCCTGAATAGTAGTTTCGATTTTCTTTCCATCAAACCTATATAACCCATATACTACCCCTGTATCCCCTTGGCTTGGAGACCCTGTATTCGACGAAGCCGTTCTTTGCCGGGGCAAACTTTCTATCCATTCCCTAATAGCGGCTATATAGGGATACTGGAAAAGAACATGGAAACTACTATTTAGGATTAAGGGCAATCTGAAGCATCTGCCAATTTCTTTGCATGGTCGTCGGCTCCCGCGCCTAATTCCTCGTATGTTCCCTTGCAGTTATAGTCCCCCTTAAGTAGATAGAATATGGGGTTTTTGGGGATCTTATTATAATATACACAAAGCCATATTCTATCTACTTAAGGGGGACTATAATGTTCATGCCTTGTGAGACTTCATGGCGGACAGATCACATTCCCTAATCTGAATCTTTACGATTTAGTCAATACAGCTTCATAAGAGCGATACTCCTAGTGCTTGCACAACACTACTTATTGCACCCCAAAAACATCCCTGAACCCTGGGAAACCCTGAACCCACAAAGATTGCTTGCTGTGTTTCAGATCCTTCTGCCATGCTCAATTTCACGCAGATCGTCTACATCGCTCAGAGTTAAATGCCTACCTAAACCCCAAATGGATGTAAAACAATAGCCCAAAAACCATAATAACAGCCATAAGGGCCACTATTTTACATACTTCTGGGGTCCAGGTAGGATCTTTGTATCTGTGACCTTTGGGTGATTGGCCCGTACCTGGGCTACTTCCAGCAACATTCACAGCTAACCACTCCAAAGCTTAACCCCAAGACCCCAATACCTAAGGTTTAGGGTTTAGGGTTTAGGGTTAGGGTTTAGGGCCTAACCCCAAGACCCCACCACCTGGAGGCTTGGAGTTATGTCATGTAGGGTTCAGAAGTGCATCCTTCCACGGGAACACAAAGTCAGTAGGTAGACACCCCGCTAAACCTTCCTACATGAGCTACAGCCTAAACTCCTTAAAAGGGGTTATGTGGGTGGTTGTCAAAATTATGGTCCCTTTTTGGATCCCCATCATAATACGGCACCTAATACTTAGGGTACCCAAAAAGGGAGCAATAATTTTGACAACCACCATAGGGTTCAGGGTTTAGGGTCTAAACTCCTGAAAGGAGGATTATATAGGGATTATATAGGGGAGTATTCTAGGGGTTATCAAGGGGGACATTAGGAGTGTAGACAATAGCTCATATCAACATTCCTAGACACCGTCGCCACCACCCAAGTATTCTCTGTCTAGCGCCTGCCTTGAGACTTACCCACAACCCTGTTGTAACAAGGACCCTGCCACTATCGTGTGACTATAATTCCTAATTTAGGGGTTGGGGTAGCTAAAGCCCCATTATTAGGAATAGGGGCAATGCAATACGAGTTTACAAGACTAAGTTGGCATTTCAATATCCCCAAAGAAAGCAGTGAGCACCGTACAAGATCCAGTATCCGCAAGGGACCTAAACTCCCTAAATTCTAACCCACGAAACGTAACCATCAAACGTTTAATTCTAACCCTAAGGAGTGTCCCGCCAAACCCCAAGAAACCCACCCGCAGAAGGGCTATAAACCTTGTAAACTCACACCCTATAAACCTTGAACCCTAGCACATACTTGGAGTGTCGGGGGGCCTAGTACATGTACTAATACAAACCCCAGAAATCCCCACTAGTAATCTACTTACTAAGTCGCCCTGACCCTTCAAGCAAGACGCAAGTCAAAAGTTTGAACAAGGAGGCTCTTAGCATGGGCCCTTGATCCTGGGCCCTTGTATGCCTAGTATGCCCTACAGATACGTTTAAGGTTCCCCTATTTCGGCTAAAACCCTAAACCCCAAACCCCAAACCCCAAAACCCTAAACCCTAAACCCCAAATCCTGAACCCCAAACCTTAAACCCTTAGGGGCCCGAGACTGCCAATCTTTAGAGCAAGGCACCTGCATAGACTGCAGCCTTACCGGCCTTGCACGACCAGGTGAGGGAGGCGCCTAACAGGGTGGTCCAAACAAGGGCAATACCCAGACCCTCCTATGTAGTTCCTTTGTGGGGTTTTAGGGTTTAGGATTAGGCTTGACAACTTGAGGGACCCTCCTATGTAGGTCCTTTTTGGGTAATATATTAGAATCCATTACTTAAAAACCATAACAAACCCAAAAAAAAGAACTACGTTGGAGCCCTTGGGTAGAGCTTGGGGTCTACGGATTTACGGGCTTTGGGCTTTGGGCTTAAGGTTTACTGGGTTTGAGGGCTTAGGCTTAGGGCCTGGACTAGCAGATTGGGTATGGGGCCCACATAATTTGGGAACGTGACTGTGAAGGATCATGTCGGGTATAGAGGCCAGTGCAGAGTTTGAGACGTAGGGTTAGGGTTTTAGGGTTTAGGGTTTTAGGGTTTAGGGGTTCGGAGCTACAGGAATGCGCCGGTTGGATACTAAGTGAGCGTGAGTTCCAAACGTTCTCAAGGTTCTGCAAGGGCACTTGCAACCCTACTTCTGGTTTCCTGTCGGGCAGACACACACGCATATGGCATGGGGAATCAAAAACTTGAAGACCTAAACACT